GTGCCGATGGTGTTGTTGATGATGATGATGATGGTGGCGATGATGGTGACCCGATGATGATGATACTGATGATAATGATGGTGATGTTGATGGTGATCAGGTGATGATGACGGTGTCCCGATGATGGTGATGACGTTGATGACGATGATGTCGATGATGATGACGTTGATTGTGAGACCGATTGTGACATCGATAGTGCGACCAAATGTGATATATATATATATTGTGAGATCGATAGTGAGATCGATCGTCAGATCGATGGTGATATCGATAGTCATAACGATTGTGAAACCGATCGAATGAAATAGATCGAGTGATATCGATTGTGATATCGATCGAGTGAGATCGATCGAGCGAGACCGATAGTGAGCTCGATCGTAAGATCGATAGGCAGACCGATCGAATGAGACGTTGGTTCGCCCCCCCGAACCTTCTTTTCACCCGAAGGGTGGCCGTATAGGTATTTTATTTTCTTCGTCCCCAGCGGGGTGGCGAAGAAACAACCGACGAAGCTCGGCATAGTGTATCTTAAAACAGGTCGCGGGGCAGAAACGCACTTAGCAATGCAAGCGCATCGAACAGCGCAAGCGCACATGCGCCTGCGCGCAGGGAGGCGCCGACGCGCAGAGAAGAAACGGAGAAAGGAGCGCAGGTGCGCGCAACGCAGCGCGCAACAAAAAAACGTCGGCGCCCAGCGGAACGCATGACAACGAAGGCGGGGAACCAAAACCGCAAGCACGCATTGAAAGACAAAACCGCATGGGAGCGCGGGTGCGCAAAGAAATGACGGCGCACAAGAGAACGCCGAAGCGCGGACGACTGCAAACGCATCGCAGACGGCAATAGCGCGGAGCAACGCAAACGCATAAACAAAAACCACGCAGAGGCACCCGTGCGCGTGGAGATCAATTTGGGAGCGCAACAACCTGACACAGGCAGGAACGACAACGCAGAACGGAACGCAGGCGCGCAGAGAAACAGAAACTGAAGATCGTGCGCAAAAAGAACGCAGGCCTAGCGGAAAGATATTAGAAGAACGCAAGCCTGCACAGAGACGCAGGCCAACAAGGAATCACAGGCGCACTTAGCAGAGATGCGCGTTCGCCGAAGTGCGTCCAGAACCAGGCGGCGCGGAATTCTAAAGATAACGTGCTTTTGTTTTTTTACTCACAAGCGAACAGCGGGGCGCAGTCACGAAATTGTATGGAGGCGCGCAGAACAGCACTGGCGGGGTGGGTGTGGGGGGGGGGCAGGGATCGGGATGGGGGATGGAAGTGAGGGAACATAGCCTGCTCCCTTCGAGCTTCGAGGGGCACATCCCCAACTGGGGTGGTGGGGAGATAAGGTGCTATTGCGGCCCGTTGGTTGTTACTGCGGCCCGGTGGGTGTTAGTATGGCCAGGGGTCCTCCGGAGTGAATTAATTATCGAGTGCGGTGACGGGGGGGGGGTCCAAAAAGGCTCCGCCCCCCCCCCTTCACCGAAGAGCCTCTCGGAAGAGCCATCTGGTGCTCTCCGAAGAGCCTCTTGAGCCGCCGAAGACCCTCTTGCAGCCGCCTAAGAGCCTCTTGGGCTCTCCGAAGAGCCTCGTGGGGCCTCCGGAGAGCCTCTTGGGGCATCCGAAGCGCTTCTCGGGCTCTCCGAAGAGCCTTAGGCTCTCCGAACTACTACACTACTACTACTACTACTACTACTACTAGTAGTAGTAGTAGTAGTAGTAGTAGTAGTAGTAGTAGTAGTAGTAGTAGTACTACTACTACTACTACTACTACTACTACTACTACTACTAGTACTACTACTACTACTACTACTACTACTACTACTACTACTTACTACTACTACTACTACTACTACTACTACTACTACTACTACTACTACTACTACTACTACTACTACTACTACTACTACTACTACTACTACTACTACTACTACTATTACTACTACTACTACTACTACTACTACTACTACTACTACTACTACTACTACTACTACGACTACGTACTACTACTACTACTACTACGACGACTACAACGACGACTACAACGACTACTACTACTACTACGACGACGACGACGACGACGACGACGACGACGACGACGACGACGACGACGACGACGACGACGACTACTACTACTACTACGACTACTACGACTACTACGGCTACTACGACTACAACGACGACTACTACTACTACTACTACTAGTACTAGTACTAGTACTAGTACTAGTACTAGTACTAGTACTAGTACTACTACTACTACTACTACTACTACTACTCCTACTACTAAATCTACTGCTACTACTTCTCGTCGTCCCTAGCGCCCTAGGGCTAGAACTCCCTAGCGCCAGTACTTCCTAGGGCTAGCACTCCCTAGCGCCAGTACTTCCTGGCACTCCCTCGGACTAGCACTCCCTAGGACTAGTATTCCCTAGGGCTGGTACTCCGAGTGCGAGTACTCCCTAGGACGAGTACTCCCTTGGACGGGTACGCCCTAGGGGTAGTAAGTCCTAGGACTGGTCCTCCCTGGGGCTAGCACTCCCTGCGGCTAGTACGCCGTAGGACTAGTACTCCCTGTGAATGAAATGATATTACCAAACACCAACACTACAGCACCATAGTACTACAACACTACAGCACCACTACCACAATACCAGTACCACAACACCACAACACCGCTACCACAACACCACAACACCGCTACCACAATACCACAACCACAACACCACACCACCGCTACCACAACACCACTACCACAGCATCACTGCCACTACCACAACACTACTACCTACTAGCAACTCAACAACACTACCAACACCACACCACTAACACAACACTACCAACACCACACCACTAACACAGCACACCACTACCAACACCACACCACTAACACAGCATACAGCACAACCAGCCACTACCAACACCACACCATTAACACAACATTGCCAACACCACACCACTAACACAGCACAGCGACCACCACACCACTAACACAGCACTACTACCACGTTGGTTCCAGGTGGGAGTTACTGTGGCCAGTTTTGCCTGCGCGGCAGTGCATTCCCTTAAGGGTTGCGAAATTCTCCAGATCTAACATGAGATACCTTTACATGTTACTTTTCATTGAGCGGCCTGCGCGGGCCAGAGTAACTCCCACCCCGCCGCGCGACGGGCCACACTAACACCCAACGGGCCACACTAACACCCAACGGGCCACAATAACAACCGGTCGCGGGTGGTGGGGGTGGCAGGGATCGGGATGGGGGATGGAAGTGAGGGAACATAGCCTGCTCCCTTCGAGCTTCGAGGGGCACATCCCCAACTGGGGTGGTGGGGGGGGGGGGGCAGGGATCGGGATGGGGGATGGAAGATGGGGGATGGAAGTGAGGGAACATAGCCTGCTCCCTTCGAGCTTCGAGGGGCACATCCCCACTGGGTGGTGGGGGGTGGGGGGGTGGGGGCAGGGATCGGGATGGGGGATGAAGGAGGGAACATAGCCTGCTCCCTTCGAGCTTCGAGGGCACATCCCCAACTGGGGTGGTGTGGTGTGGGGGGGGGGGAGCAGGGATCGGGATGGGGGATGGAAGTGAGGGAACATAGCCTTCTCCCTTCGAGCTTCGAAGGGCACATCCCAAACTAGGGTGGTGGTGGGTGGGGGGGGGCAGGGATCGGGATGGGGGATGGAAGTGAGAGAATATAGCCTGCTCCCTTCGGGCTTCGAGGGGCACATCCCCAACTGGGGGTGGGGGGGGGCAGGATTCGGGATGGGGATGGAGTGAGGGAACATAGCCTGCTCCCTTCGAGCTTCGAGGGGCGAATCCCCAACTGGGGTGTGGGTGGGGGTGGAGCAGGGATCGGGATGGGGGATGGAAGTGAGGGAACATAACCTGCTCCCTTCGAGCTTCGAGGGGCACATCCCAAACTTGGGTGGTGGTGGTGTGGGGGGGATCGGGATGGGGGATGGAAGTGAGGGAACATAGCCTGCTCCCTTAGAGCTTCGAGGGGCACATCCCCAACTTGGGTGGTGGGGGGGGGGTGGGGGGCAGGGATTGGGATGGGGGATGGAAGTGAGGGAAGATAGCCTGCTCCCTTCGAGCTTCGAGGGGCACATCCCCAACTGGGGTGGTGGGGGGGGGGCCGGGATCGGGAGGGGGGATGGAAGTGAGGGAACATAGCCTGCTCCCTTCGAGCTTCGAGGGGCACATCCCCAACTGGGGTGGTGTAGGGGGCAGGGATCGGGATGTGATGTGGATCGGGGATCTGGCCTGCTCCCCTCGAGGCGCGTACCCCCAGCTGGGGTGGTGGGCCGGTAGGGATCGGGAATTGGGACCCCGAGCCGTCTCTTGGCAGCCCCCGGGCCCCGGCGCGGGCCCCCGATGGCCGACCATGGCGAAACATCGCCCGTCGGCTCTTTTTTTTATGGCCCGAGGGGGTCTGGGGGATTGGGGTGGGGTTCTGTCTAACTCGGGGGGATTGGGATGGGGTCTGGGGGATTGGGATTGGGATGGGGATTGGGATGGGGTCTGGGGGATTGGGATTGGGTCTGGGATGGGATTGGGATTGGGATGGGGTTCTGTGAAACTCGACAGGCGCGTTCTACTACAGGCGCGTTCTACCACTCGCAAGGCAGCTGCTCGCCAAGGGGCAGCATCCGCCGCGGGGAAGGCACGCTCTTCTGGCCGTTTGCAAGTAGGCACTTTGCGAGCATTAGCCACGCGCAGAGGGGGGTGGGGGGAGGGGGGAGGGCACCTTAGAAGCACCCCTGCTCCTCCGAAGGCGCGGGCCAGACCTATAGATGTAGGGTCGGCGCCTTTGAAGAAGCAGCCTCCTTCTAAGAAGCCCTCCCCCCTCCTTCCCCTCCCCCTGTGCGCACCGCCAAGAGTAGTACTCAGTAGTGGAACGCGCTCGGTAAGAAACGACACTGACCCCGGACTCCTGGCGGTGCTCCCAGGGGCCCCGGCGCCCCGCCCGCGCGGCCGGGGGGGGGGGCTCGGCGGCTCGGCTCCTGCGACGAGGACGTGCCCCTCCTACGCCTCTCCAGCACCAGCGCGATGCAGCCGGCGCGCTCCGGGGGGGTCGCGATGGACCAGGGGCGGACATGCAGTCAAGGACGACGGCGGCTGCGGCGGCGACGACGACGACGACAACGGCGACGACGATGACGTCGACGGACGAGGGCGACGAGGATGACGACGACGATTGCGGGCGACGGACCAGGGGCGGACATGCGATCAAGAATCAAGATTGATAGTATCGAAGAAGAGGAAACAACATAGCCATACACATTCGCAGCTCCGGGCGGATTTCTTGGATCGGCGCTCTCCTACACCCTGGCGGAACCTAAGGCACCCTCCGCGTTCTGGGGAGTGGGGCTCAGCGTTGACCTCGAACAGTTCTTGTTCGTGCAGTTTTCCTGCTCTATAGTATGGATGCACGATAAGGATGCAAAGATTTAGGAAGCTCATTGGGCCAAGAACAACGCAACATTCCCCAAACTGTGCTTGAACTTAGGGGTTCTTACTTCTCCTCGAAGGAACTGGTCCTGAGACTTGGTCCGGCGGCTATGTCGTCGCCGTCGCCGCCCCGTCGCCGCCTCGTCGTCGCCCGTCGTTTGGGCCTTAAACTTGGTCCGGCGGCTATGTCGTCGCCGCCGCCGCCCCGTCGCCGCCTTGTCGCCGCCCGTCGTCTGGGCCTGAAACTTGGTCCGGAGGCTGTCGTCGCCGTCGCCGCCCCGTCGCCGCCCGTCGTCTTCCCCAAACAGTGCTTGCACTTAGGGGTTCGTAATCCTTTTCTAAGGAGCTGGCCTGAAACTTGGTCTTGTGGCTGTGTTGCCGCCGTCGCCGGCCCGTCGCGGCCTCGTCGCCGCCCGTCGTCTGGGCCTGAAAGTTGGTCTGGCGGCTATGTTGCCGTCGTCGCCGCCCCATCGCCGCCTCGCGTCCCGTGGTTTGGGCCTGTTTGCCAGTCTGGCGGCTATGTTGCACAACATCGACTGCACCACTTAGACTGCGCCACATATATGCTCGCCCCCCCCCACATGAGCATACACATTCTCCCATCATCCCTCCAGTCATCATAACCCGTTCCTTCCTCCTGTTTTTCTTCATGATGGTTTGCTACGTTGCAAACCGCAATTCCGTCGATTGCAGTCCAAACACTTCAGCGCGAAGCGGCTTCAGTCTTTCGCGGCGCATTGCAATCCAATCTCACCATCTCATGTTTATGATGCCCCTCCTCCTCCTCCTCCTCAGCATCCTACTCCTTCTCAACCTCAAGCTCCCCCTCCCTCTCTTTCTCTTTCTCATCTTTCTTCTTTGAAGCTTTCTCCACCTTCTCCTCATAATTGTCCTCTCCTCCTCGTCCTCCTCTTCCTCCTCCTCCTCGATACCAAACGCCTTGTCCTCCTCGTCCTCCTCCTCATTTTCCTCCTCTACCGTCTCCCAATCCTCCTCCACATCCTCTTCCTCCTTATGTTTGTCTTCTTCCCCCTCCGCTTCAAAATCAAATGCATTGGCCTCAACTCTTCTCTTCCTCCTCCTCTTCCTTCTCCTTCCCCTCGTCCTCCTCATTCTATGAATCCTCATCCACTTCTTCCTCATGTTTGTCCTCATCATTCTCCTCCTCCTACCCCCTCTCACTTTCAAACTCCTTGTCCTCCTCTTCCTCCTCCTCCTCCTCCTCCTTGTCCTCTTCATCTTCCTTCTCTGAATCCTCCTCCATCTCCTCTTCGGCATGTTGTCCTCCTCCTATTCCGATTCCGCAAATTTAAACTCATTGTCCTCCTCCTGCTTCTCTTCCCCTCCTCCTTCTTTAAATTCTCCTCAAGCTCTCCCTCATGTTTGTCCTCCTCATCAGAATCCTCCTACTATTCTTCCTTCTCCTCCTTCTCTGAATCCTCATTCACCTCTTCCTCCTCCTCCTTCTCCTCCTCCTCCCAATGTTTGTCCTCCTGCTCATCGTCTCCTCCTCCTCCCCCTCCACCACCTCCTCCTCCACCTTCTCCTCCAAACCATATTTGCCCTACTCCTCAAAATTGAGCCCCTTGTTCTCCTCCTCCTCCTCCGCGTCATCTGGTGAATGCCGAGCTCCAGTGGCGCCAGCCATAGTTGAGCAACATCCTCCCCCATTTTCCACCGCCTCTTCCTAGCTGTGGAGCGGCGTTCACAACAAGTTTTGTGAATAATGGTTCGTAGCGGAAGGTTGCTCGCAAGGTTTGTTGTGGAGTTGCATTCGCAATTAGATTGGAGGGTAACGCCTCGAAGTGGAGAGGAGGGGGCTGAGTGATCAGGAGCCGTAGCAGCAGGAGGAGTAGGAGGAGGAAGAAGAGGAGGGTGAGGAGCATGACGAAGGTGAGGAGCAACACCTTACTCACAAAACTAAGTGTGAAGCGGCGTTCACAGCTAGTTTTGCGAGTAATGTTTCGTAGCAGGAGGCTGCTCACAAAACTGGTTGTGGAGCTGCGTTCACAACTAGATTTGCGAGTGACGCCACGGAGCGGAGAGGTGGGGGTAGAGTGAAGAAACGAAGGAGGAGGAAGGGGGGAGGAGCAGGAGGAGTATGAGGAGGAAGAAGGGGAGGGTGAGGAGCATGACGAAGGTGAGGAGCAACACCTTACTCACAAAACTAGGTGTGGAGCGGCGTTCACATTTAGTTTTGCGAGTAATGTCTCTTATCAGGAGGCTGCTCGCAAAACTGGTTGCGGAGCTGCGTTCGCAACTAGATTTGTGAGTGACGCCATGAAGCGGAGAGGTGGGGTTGAGTGAAGAAAAGAAGGAGGAGGAAGGATGGGGAGGAGCAGGAGGAGTAGGAGGAGGAAGAAGAGGAGGGTGAGGAGCATGACGAGGGTGAGGAGGAAGACATCACTCACAAAACTAGGTGTGGAGCGGCGTTCACAGCTAGTTTTGCGAGTAATGTTTCGTAGCAGGAGGCTGCTCGCAGAACTGATTGGGGAGCTGCGTTCACAACTAGATTTGTGAGTGACGCCACGAAGCGGAGAGGTGGGGGTAAAGTGAAGAAAAGAAGGAGGAGGGGGGAGGAGCAGCAGGAGTAGGAGGAGGAAGAAGAGGAGGGTGAAGAGCATGACGAAGGTGAGGAGCAACACCTTACTCACAAAACTAGGTGTGGAGCGGCGTTCACAGCTAGTTTTGCGAGTAATGTTTCGTAGCAGGAGGCTGCTCGCAGAACTGATTGGGGAGCTGCGTTCACAACTAGATTTGTGAGTGACGCCACGAAGCGGAGAGGTGGGGGTAAAGTGAAGAAAAGAAGGAGGAGGGGGGAGGAGCAGCAGGAGTAGGAGGAGGAAGAAGAGGAGGGTGAAGAGCATGACGAAGGTGAGGAGCAACACCTTACTCACAAAACTAGGTGTGGAGCGGCGTTCACAGCTAGTTTTGCGAGTAATGTTTCGTAGCAGGAGGCTGCTCGCAGAACTGATTGGGGAGCTGCGTTCACAACTAGATTTGCGAGTGACGCCACGAAGCGGGGAGGTGGGGGTAAAGTGAAGAAAAGAAGGAGGAGGGGGGAGGAGCAGGAGGAGTAGGAGGAGGAAGAAGAGGAGGGTGAGGAGCATGACGAAGGTGAGGAGCAACACCTTACTCACAAAACTAGGTGTGGAGCGGCGTTCACAGCTAGTTTTGCGAGTAATGTTTCGTAGCAGGAGGCTGCTCACAAAACTGGTTGTGGAGCTGCGTTCATAACTAGATTTGCGAGTGACGCCACGAAGCGGAGAGGTGGGGGTAGAGTGAAGAAACGAAGGAGGAGGAAGGGGGGAGGAGCAGGAGGAGTAGGAGGAGGAAGAAGAGGAGGGTGGGGAGCATGACGAAGGTGAGGAGCAACACCTTACTCACAAAACTAGGTGTGGAGCGGCGTTCACATTTAGATTTGCGAGTAATGTCTCTTATCAGGAGGCTGCTCGCAAAACTGGTTGCGGAGCTGCGTTCGCAACTAGATTTGTGAGTGACGCCATGAAGCGGAGAGGTGGGGTTGAGTGAAGAAAAGAAGGAGGAGGAAGGATGGGGAGGAGCAGGAGGAGTAGGAGGAGGAAGAAGAGGAGGGTGAGGAGCATGACGAGGGTGAGGAGGAAGACATCACTCACAAAACTAGGTGTGGAGCGGCGTTCACAGCTAGTTTTGCGAGTAATGTTTCGTAGCAGGAGGCTGCTCGCAGAACTGATTGGGGAGCTGCGTTCACAACTGACGGGGGGCAGCCGACGGCCAACGCTGCCCTGTTGAAGCTACACGATTTGATTATCATCCTCCTGCTCTTGAAAAAAATACCGTTTACCAGATTTTCCAGATTTCCAAGATCTTCCCAGAGATGGCCATGGTGAAAAACGTTGTGTTTTCCTGATATTCCTGACCTTCCTAGGGATTGCCCCTGAGAAAGCGCTGCGTTTTCTTGATATTCCTGATATTCCTGATATTTCCAGAAACTACCCAGGCGCCGAGGCCCCCTGGGGCTGCCGAAACATTGCCCTGGTGGAAAACGCTGTGTTTCCCTGCTATTCCTGACCTTCCCAGGGATTACCCCTGAGACAACGCTGTGTTTTCCTGATATTCCTGATATTCCTGACATTTCTAGAGGCTACCCTGCAGGCTCACGGTAGTCTCTGGAAATGTCAGGAATATCAGGAATATCAGGAAAACACAGCGTTTTCTCATGGGTAATCCCTGGGAAGGTCAGGAATATCAGGAAAACACAGCGTTTTCCACCAGGGCAATGTTTCGGCAGCCCCAGGAGGCCTCGGCGCCTGGGTAGTCGCTGGAAATGTCAGGAATATCAGGAACATCAGGAGAACACAGCGTTTTTTCAGGGGTAATCCCTGGGAAGGTCAGGAATATCAGGAAACACAGCGTTTTTCACCAGGGCAGTGTTTCGGCAGCCCCAGGAGGCTTCGGGAAGTCCCAGGAAGCGTTTCGGAAGACTCGGGAAGCCCAGGAGGCCTCAGGAAGCCCCAGGAAGCCCCAGGCCCTCCCCCCCCCAGGGCGCGCGAGGAAGAGGAGTAGCAAAAAAAGAAATATGTATGATCATGTGGGGGGGGGGGCTACCATATATATATATATATATATATATATATATATATAGGTATTGTAAACTGTACATCGATTGCACAACATAGTTGTCATTGTACCACTTAGGTTGTACCACATATATTGCACAACGTAGATTGCACCATATCGCGCACATAGAGTGCACCACGTACTTTGCATAACAATTTTACACAATGTCTATTGCATAGCATCGATTGCACAACGTATATTGCGCCACATATGGGTTTCACCCAGGTTGCGCAGCATACGTTGCCCCACGTATATTGCACCACATAGGTTCCACAATCTAGATTGCACAACATATGTTACCACCTCGGTTACACCACATACTATTGCACAACACAAGCTGCACCACCTACTGTCCGCCACATATGGGTTGCCCCACAGATGTAGCACCACACATATTGCACAGTCTAGTGCGCAGCAAAACAATTGCGCGACACCGATTGCGCAAAGTACTCTGCAACGCGCAGATGGCTCAAAAACAAGTGCACAACACAGACTACACCACAAACACTGCACCGCATATTTTGCACCACATGTGCTGCATCACAAAGGTCGCATCACATTTATTGTACAGCAGTGGTTGCACCACGTCAATCGCTAGAAACACACTGCTTGGGGCCCACGCTGGTCCACATGTGAAGGTTCAACTACCCTTCAACTTGCTTTTAATGAGGGGGCCCAGGGACGCACAAATTCGCCGGCCCAACGGGCCAGAGGCGTGTTAAGATCTCCGGTAACTACTTAACAATATTTCTAGTTCGCGCGCGCGGGGCGGCCCCTGGGGGTCCCCCGGCGAAAGGTACCCCGACCGCAGCCCGGGAAGGTCTACCCAGAGATGGTTTTCCTCCTGGGTACGGCCTCTCAGACCCCCAGACTGCCCAAGAGGCCTCCGAGACGCCCAAAGGACGCTCCAAGACGCCGAAGATGATCCCAAGACGGCCCAAGAAGCCGCCAAGACGCTCCAAGTGACCTCCAAGAGGCCTCACAAGAGCGCCCCGAGAGGCCAAACTCATCAATATTACGATGGTTTTGGAAGGATTTTGGCCTTGTCGCATTTTCGGCTTTCAGATGCTCCAAGACGGCCCAATAGGCCCCCAAGAGCGCACGAAGACGGCTCAAGAGGCCCCCAAGAAGGCCCCCAGAGAGCCCAAACGGGCCCCGAGACGGCCCAAGAGACGCCCAAGACGGCCCAAGAGAGCCCCAAGACGGCCCCAAGAGGGGCCCAAGATGGGGACCACGAACCGAAACCTCAAGCCTTCCGCCCCAAGAGGGCCCCAGGAGGCCCCGAGAGGCCCCCAAGATGGCCCAAGATGCCGCCAAGAGGCCCCCAAGAGACCCCAGGAGGCTCCAAGGAGGCTCAAAAGAGGCCCTACAAGGCTTCAAAAATGTCTCCAAGGCGCCCCCGAACGGCCTGTCAACAGAACCCAGGGCCTCCCAAAGAAGCATCTGGACGACGGCCTTGTTTGGCCCCAAGAGCGCCGCAAGATGCCATCGAGAGGCCTCCTCCCCGCCCTTCTCTCTTCCTCCTCCTCCTCATATTTATCTTCATCCTCCGTTCCTTCTCATCCTCGTCTCCTCCTCCCCCCCTCCCCATCCTCATCTTCCTCCTTCCGGCGGCGCCGAAATGGCCCCGAGCCCGCGCCGAAGCAGTAGCGATCATGCAATACGGGCCGGCGGAGTGAGCGAAGCGATTGAATAGATACATACAAATCCTAGGATTCCCAATATTTTCACATATTTTCTGGGTTTTCGTCTTCCCCCCCACTTCCTATATTTTCCAATATTTTCCTGGAAGTCGACGATGAATTGTGTCTGTGTGATTTTTTCCCTCCTAATTTAAGTGTTCTCTGAACTTAACACGAAACGCCAAATGTATACCGTATGGGGCTCAACACTTCCGCCAGCTTCTGCGGCCCTCGCCTGCGAGGCCACATTCGCTGTCCTTTTGCGCACTTCCGCGGGACCCCATCCAGCTTCCGCTGAAGGCAAGGCGAGAGGTCAACCCCTTGCTCCTTTGAAAAACAAGCCCTCTCCATAACTGCCCATAACGCAAGCACGGGTACAGCAGGTGCCGGCGTCGCGGTGTATGACACCGATTGGACCGCTCAGCCTCGAGCGATCGCGGCTTCCCAATGGCACAGTTCGATTGATGTTGGCCGACTCCTGCCGCTGCAGCTGTTCAACCTCGCACCCCCGCGCCAGTGCAGGATCAGTCAGCATCGGATCGGCGAGTCGCATCGGATCGGAATGCGCATCGGATCGGAACGCGGCATGGTGGCCCGGACCCCCCCCAGAGGCCGCCCGAAGGCGCCAAGGACGTCTCCAGAGGTACCCAAGGAGCCCCCCTCGAAACGCTTCCGCGGTGTCCTCCAGAAGCTCGCCTCGGGGTCCCCGGCCGCCCGCTCCCTCGCTGCGTTGGCCTCGTGGCTCCCAGACCGTCGTCGTCGTCGGCGTCGTCGTCGTCGTCGTCGTCGTGGTCGTGGTCGTCGTCGTCGTCGTCGTCGTCGTCGTCGTCGTCGCCGTCGTCGTCGCCGTCGTCGTCGTCGTCGTCGTCGTCGTCGTCGTCGTCGTCGTCGTCGTCGTCGTCGTCGTCGTCGTCGTCGTCGTCGTCGCCCTCGTCCCTCGTCCGTCGCCGCGACAGCGAGGCGCGAGCCTGGCGTGAGGCGGGGTCGGGGCGGGCGTCGCCTGCAGCTGCTTCTTGCTGTAGCCGAGGCCCACGGCCCGCAGCGAGCGCCAGGAGGCCTGGCACATGTTGATGCCGGGCGCCAGCTCCGACCTCGGCTCGCGTCTGCAGCTCCGCCGCGGTGCGACACAGAGGAGGAGGAGGAGGACGAGGAGGAGGAGGAGGAGGAGGCGGCGGAGGAGGAGGAGGACAAGGCGGATGATGATGATGATGATAATGATGATGATGCTGATGATGATGATGATGATGATGATGATGATGATGATGATGATGATGATGATGATGATGATGCTGCTGCTGATGCTGATGATGAGGAGGAGGAGGAGGAGGAGAGGAGGAGGAGGAGGGGGAGGACGGTGACGGCAAGATGACAAGGGGCAGGCTGCAGGGGCTGGACGAGGAGTGCGTGATGAGGAGAGGAGCGGCGACGAACGCGAGCTGGCCCAGAAGCAGATATGGGGTATGGCAGGAGGCGTGAGGAGGAGCAACATGAGGAAAAGGGCGACATCGACCAATGATTACGAGAGGAGGAGGAGGAGGAGGAGGAGGAGGAGGAGGAGGAGGAGGAGGAGGAGGAGGAAGCGGAGGAGGAGGAGGACGAGGAGAAGGAGGAGGAGGAGAATAAAGGAGTTGACGGCATCGATGAGAAGATGGAGGGCTGGGCAGAGGAGGACAAGCAGGAGGACCAGGAAGACGAAATGGAGAAGGACGGGGACAGGAGACGACGAGGAGACAGAGGATGAGGCCGATCGGAAGGAGGACACGGAGGAAAACCATGAGAATAATAATAAGAAGAAGAAGGACGAGGAGGAGAGGCTGTTGCGAGGCAGGCCCCCATTTCCTCTCTTCCTCCTTGCCGCCCTGCTCCAATTTCTCCTTCTCAATCCTCCGACGACCATGACGATGACGTTGATGATAACGCCATCGTCATCGTCGTCATCGTCAGCGTATTCATCGTCGTCATCGTCGTCGTCGTCATGGTCATCGCATTGATCGTCATCGTCATCGTCATCGTCATCGTCATCGTCATCGCACTCATCCTCATCCTCATCGTCATCGTCGTCGTCGTCGTCGTCATCGTCATCGGCATCGAGTTGAGGCCGCTCCGATGGGGCGTGAGCGAGCGGGGTCGGAAGCTCGCGCCGCAGCCCGCCGATGCATCAGCGGCGCCAGCATGGAGCTCCTCGGGCTCGGGGCCGCGCCCCCTCGCCGATGCAGCGGCCACGTGGGCGACGATCAACAAAAACGGGCCTCACGCGAAATGACGCAGCGACCTTGCGCGGTGGCTTGCGCGGGCCGCCAGCGCGGCACGCCAAATGGGAAACGCGGGCGCTCGCGCGCGACCTCACGCGGGCAACTTGCGCGCCAATGTCGGCGCAGTCGACCCCGTTTTCTTTTGTCGCCCACGTGGCACGGTCCTCCGTCCTCGTCGGCTCCGGCCCCAGCTGGGCGGCCAGGAGGAGACCGCCAACAACAGATCGGCGGCGGGCGTGTGGGGGGGGGAAACGAGAAGGGGCAGGCCTTCTCGGAAGCCTCGGAGGTCTCCCCTGGCCTTCTGAGGAGCTTCCGAAGCCTTCCCCGAAGACGCAGGAAACTTCCCCGAAGGCGCGAGGGTTTCTGAGAAGTCCCGCCGCCTTCTGAGAAGGCCTTCTCCTTCTCGCTTCCCCCCCCTCGCTCGCCGCCGAGTAGAGGGCGTGAGAAACACCCTCAGAATAAGCAGCCCGACGAGCGAAGTCCTTTAGCAAACGCGCCCAAGGAAGGAACCAAGAAGGATCGGGCTGTTTGGCAGACACCCAGGGGCGTTTGGTAAACGCGAGCTGTGGGTGTTGGGGTGGTTTTGCTTCTCTTGAGGTACGAAGTGGAAGAACGTCTACATAAACGTAAACGTGCGCGGCCTGGAAGAAGCCACCAACACAGTTAAGACGCTGAAACAAGGACCACGTTTCGGGGATCTGCTGACCCGGGTCACTCCAAGCCCGGGGCAGTCAGGCTCTGCAGGATCCTGCTAGAATCCTGCATGATCCTGCACCCAAGCCCGGGTCAATGCGCCCCTGGCCCTGCAGGATCCTGCAGGATCCGGCGCTCTGGCTGACCCCCGTTTGCATTCACCCCTTCTCTTGAACCCCGACGCAGCAGCAAGAGGAGGCCGACGAACTGGAGGAGGGGCAGGAGGGCAGTGGAGGAGGAGGAGGAGGAGGACGAGGAGGAGGAGGAGCAGGCAGGAGGAGGAGGAGGAGGAAGAGGAGAAGGAGGAGGAGGAGGAGAAGGCGGAGGAGGAGGAGGAAGAGGAGGAAAAGGAGGAGGAGGAGGAGGAGGAAGAGGAGGAGGAGGAGGAGGAGGAGGCGGAGAAGGAGGAGGAGGCGAAGAGTCCGTAGCCATTTTGGCTCAAGTCCGTAGCGTGGCCCAAGGTCTGCAGCGGACTGGAGTTTTTGGCATTGGGAGCCTCGCAGAGGCAGCGGCCCCGCCCACGTCCCGCCAGAGCGTCTCTGGTATTGTATTGGGGGTTACCCCCCGCTCTTTTGTCCACTTTCACTTTCCATTTCCGATGGCCAGCAAGGATGTTCTCTTGGGACCGAAGGGACCTCGCTGGTCGTGCGGGCAGTGCTCAAGGAGTCAGAGCTGGGCCTCGCGGATCCGCTGCGTTTGCGGGTCCCCGGCGCCGCCAGGTGTCGTCCGCGCGGCCAAGGCTGCCCATGAGAAGGCCATGCCCAGTGGATCAGGCTCTAAGGCCTTGCCTAAGGGCTCGACGTGGGCAGCGGGCCCGCCGTCCATCGGCTCTGGGCCCAAGAACAGCAAGGAGTTCCAGGACCTGTCCAAGCTGGTCCAATCCATGTCGAAGCAGCTGGCTCAGCTCACCTCCGCGCCAGCGGCAGCTCCGCCCGTGCAGATTGGCAACGTGGTCCCAGACCACGCGAAGGGGCTGCAGTCCCGCCTCCAGTTTTGGCGCAATGCGTCCAAGAACGCTGCCAGCGAGGTGGACAAGCAGCTGGCAGACCAGAAGATCGAGGAGGTACAGATACTTGTCACCGCCAACAAGCCGCCAGAGGCAGTTCAGATGTACATCACCCAGCGGCTCTCCAAGGCGAAGGCTGCGGAGGCAAAGGCGCGTGCGCTCCTGGCGACGCGCCGTGAGGAGGTGGCGAAGCAGAAGGAGGAGCTTGACAGGGAGCTCAAGGAACTCGAGGCTGCGGCCGAGTTGGCAGGTGCTGCGGTGCAGAAGCTCCGGGTCGAGGCCAAGTCCACCTTCCAGCAGCAGTTCGGCAGCGGAGGCCCGATCCCCGTCCTCGACATCGAGGGCATCTCGAGCGAGCTTGCCGAGAAGGCGGGCCCAGGGTTCAAGGACTGGCTCGCCGAGCAGAAGGCGGCTGGACATCTCGAGAAGCTGGTGGAGCTGCTACAGGGGCAAGCTGCTGCTCCAGCTGGCGATCCTGGCCAGAATCGCAGTGGTGTTGATGTCGCCGCAGGAGACGATGACGACATGGACCTCGATGACAGCGTTGCGGCCAAAGTGGAGGCAGCGGCCGCTCAGGCAGCAACCGAGCACGCGGACGTGGCCGACCCTGAGGAGCGAGCCGCAGCTATCAAGCGGTCGGTTCAATCAGCCATCAAGGAGCTTTCCCTCAAGGGCAAGCGGAGGGAGTGTTCCTGACGTCCATCGCCGTCAGCGGGGGCGCCGAGGAGCAGCGCAGGAGGCCACCGCGTAGAAATTCTGTACTGTGAATGCTAATGCGTGGTCGAGCTCGACCTTCCGCAGCTCGTTCCAGGCGGTGTGTGACTGGAGGCTAGAGTCTTGCGAGCTGGCCCCTCCCCATTTCTTCGCGGTGCAGGAGACAAGGAAGGGTGAGGGTGACGATGCCCGATCCATAGCCAGTTGGATGGCGTTGAAGGGGTACCAGACCGCAGTCACGCCGTGCGTCTCGAAAGGCCGGGCCCAAGTGCTGTCCACATCGGCTGGCACCCTTGCCTGTGTGGCTAAGCATGTCACGGCGGCGAAGTGCGGGCTTGCGGATTTGGAAGGTTTGTCGGAGAGTTGGAGAGGCCGTATCGCAGCGGTGAAGGCTCAAGCAGTCGTCCCAGGTGGGGTGTTCTTCCTGTCGGTGTACCTGTTCGATGGCATCGGCTTCAGCGGGAAGAACGTCACGATGTTGAGGAGTCTCGGCTTATGGCTTTCAACGCTCAGCGTCCCGTGGATCATCGGCGGCGACTGGAACCTGACGGCAGATGATGCGGGCCTGACGTCCTGGGCGCGCAGGCTGGGGGCTACTATCATCTCCTCGTGCAGTCCGACCTGTCACCCGTCGAAGGGGGTGGCCCGCAAGCTTGATTTCTTCGTGGCATCCCAAGGATTGGCGACCTGTTTGCAGAGAGTGGTGCTACACGAGGCGGCTCCGACGGAGCCCCACACGCCAGTCGAGATCTGGCTCCGAGGGGTCAGCCTCAACTTGACAGTGCACATGCGACAGAAGTGTAGACCGTTCCCGACGTGTTTGGCCATCGGCTGCTTGCGGGAGAAGCAGGTCCACGCCTGGAGTTGGGAGGAGGGCACCATGCCAGCACACCTCGGGCTCAAGCGAGCGTGGCAAGAGTGGCTCGATAACATGGAGGGCGACTTGTGCCACGCCTTCGACCTGTACGGGGCCTCCGCCAACTGTTATCGAGACAGGAGCGGAGGGTTCGCGCGCATTGGTGCTCGGCCCGATCGCCTGGTCAAGCGCCTGCAGCCTGGTGCCTCGATCACGATCAGGGCATGGAGTTCGATGGCGTCGGTGCTGCACAGGGCCAGCGCCCTGTGGCGTTCGTGCGCAGCTGCGGTGGGAGAGGCTGGCGCCCTGTGTGTCCACCGCGGAGGCGACGGCCCGAACGCAGCTGGAGCCCCCTGGCACGCGACGGCGCGGGCTGACGAGCCCAGGCCAGGGGCGTCTCTCGGGCGCCAGCCAGGCACCCTGGCGTCGACAGGGGCGAAGTCGGCGGGTGCATCTCCCTCAGTTGAGTTGTCGAGATTGCGGACTTGGGTGAGCCCTGTGAAAACTGGGACTGAGCCGTGTGCTGCTGTGAATGTCTCCACAATGCACGTTTTGGAATCGCCGGAGGGA